TCATTTAGCACGAGCTTGTTGAGCTTCACCCGCCTGCTCTCGCATTCGACCCCTGAGCTTATGTTGGCTGTGGCTCTTGGCCCCCAAGGGAGGTTTTATCTAAGACGTGAAGTGATGGACAGCCCGTCCCGTCCCCCAGGCACGTGCTTGTTCCAGAATTTAATCACTCCTGTTGCTTAAAATAAATAGATGCTGATGGTGTATTTGGATTTCTGTGATTTGAGCTTCTAGCCGCTGTGTCCCTGTTGAGTATCGAGCCCAGAATGAACTCCTCTTGCCTTCCCCGGGTGATAGAACCTTACAGTCGAGTGTGAGCTCCAGGCGGTTGATGGGGAGCGGAGCAGCTGGCACTCGTGCCCCCGGCAAGCCGCAGAGCCGCTTCCCCCGCCCCAGCACCCATCCCGTGCTTGCAGGATCGACGTGCACCGGAAAGAAAACGCGGGAGCTGCAGAAAAAGCCATCAGCATCCACTCCACCCCCGAGGGCTGCTCCGCCGCCTGCAAGATGATTTTGGAGATCATGCAGAAGGAGGCGAAGGACACCAAGACGTAAGTTTTCCCCCTGCTTTTCTGTGCACGCGTATCCCATCCGCGGCTCTTCGCTGGGCTCTGGGACCATCCTGATGCCCGGAGCCATGCGATGCTCCCGCCTGTGCAGGACCTTTGGTTTGGGGGACTCCAAGCGAGAGGACTTGAGCTTCCCCCATCTTTCTGTCCCAAATCCCTCCTCTTCTGGCTGCAGTAATCCTTCATGTTGGTTTTTTTTTTTCCCCCGTTCCTCTCTCAAGAGCTGACGAAGTGCCTCTGAAAATCTTGGCCCATAACAACTTTGTGGGGCGCCTGATCGGCAAAGAAGGGCGAAACTTGAAGAAAGTGGAGCAGGACACGGAGACAAAAATCACCATCTCGTCGTAAGGCTCCTCGCACCCTTTGGGGAAACCACGGCAGACCTTCCTCAGCCCAGGGCGGATGGGGAGGATGAGGAGGAGACGGGTGCTGTGATGAGAGTGGGCAGAGATGCCTGTCTGTCAGCTGGGAAGCCAGCTTGTGGCGTGGGTGCTTTACTCCCCAAAGCTCTCTTGGAAAATCTTGGCTTGATATTTTCTGTATTCCCCTCCCATGCCCTTCGGTGTCCCCTCCCTGCCCCTTCGGTGTCCCCTCCCCGTCCCTTCAGGGCGGCAGAGCTCAGGACCGGCTGGTTTGATGGCCAGGACTGGAGTTTTACTCTCAAGCCATGTTTTTGGGGAAGGCAGAGTGGACTTCCCAGTGCAAACCGTGATGCTGGTCCCTGCCCTGACTGGGACCAGGCAGTCCCAGTACGTGGTGGCGGTGGCACCCTGTGTCCCCGGCACCCCTATAGCACCCATCAGAAGGACAGGAGGACCCAGTGTAGCACTGGTTGGGCAGGGCAAGGTCTCGGTACTGACGCTGGCTTTCCCATCAGCTTGCAGGACCTGACTCTGTACAACCCCGAAAGGACCATCACGGTGAAGGGCTCCATCGAGAACTGCTGCAAAGCGGAGCAGGAAATCATGAAGAAAGTGAGGGAAGCCTACGAGAACGATGTGGCTGCCATGAGTGTGAGTGGGGTTCGGGCCTGCCCGGCGTCTCGGCTGACGGGAGCTCTCTAGGAGGATGCCCTGATAAAAGCAATGCTCATTTCTCTCCTCTCGCCCTCAGTTGCAGTCTCACCTCATCCCTGGACTTAACCTGGCTGCGGTTGGTCTCTTCCCTGCCTCCTCCAATGCAGTACCTCCGCCACCGAGCAGCATCTCCGGGGCTGCGCCGTACAGCTCCTTCATGGTAGGTGAACACCCAGCAGCTCAAACTGCTCCTGCTTCCAGCTCGGGGGTCTCCCCTGCGTGGAGAAGACCCTTGCGATGGTCAGGTTTATGCCTTCAGCATCTCCTGCTGTCAGCAGGCGGGTCAGGTCCAGCGTGGGTGCAGGATCTGATCTTTTAAACTATTGCGAAGGCGATGGAGAAGGTGCTCAGACCCCACAGAGTCTGGTGGTGGCTCAGCCCTGCACCCTTGGGAGGGGTGTGGGCGTCGCTTGGGAGGGGACGTGGAGCCTTGATCCCCGTGGTGGCACTGAGCCCTGAACGGTGACGCTGTACCCGCAGCCTCCGGAGCAGGAGACGGTGCACGTCTTCATCCCCGCGCAGGCGGTCGGTGCCATCATCGGCAAGAAGGGCCAGCACATCAAGCAGCTCTCCCGGTTCGCAAGTGCCTCTATCAAGGTAGGGTTGCCCTGGCGTGGACCCCCCCCCCCATCTGCCGGCACCTCCCCAACTGGGGGCCTTTCTAGCTGGGAAAACCACTTGAAAAGCCTGGGTGGTCGGGCTGGGGGCCCAATCCTGTGGTGCAGGGGAGGGGGGGCATGGCCACCACCCTGCCCGTGCCGCTCCACGCCGCAGCCGCCGTCTCTCTCCCCCCTCCAGATTGCCCCTCCGGAGACGCCGGACTCCAAAGTGCGCATGGTCGTCATCACGGGCCCTCCGGAGGCTCAGTTCAAGGTTCCCCCTGCGCTGCCGTCACCGTGGGGGATTCGGGGTGTCCCTCTCCAACCACCCTGCGGAGCCGGGAAGGGAGGAACGGGGTGGTGATCCCAATTTTAAGCGCCCACCCCCCCAGTCTGCAGCTGGGTAAACCCAGCGTCAGCTCTCCCAGGGGCTGAGCTGGTTTGAAACCCCAAGGAACTGGGATTTCGTGGGATGCTGTCGCGGGGATGGAGACCCCCTGAGCCGGTGGGGACGTGCCAGGGGTAGGACATCTCGGATGGCCCCCGACTCCGTGCTCCCTCCCCTTTTGCAGGCGCAAGGCAGGATTTACGGGAAGCTGAAGGAGGAGAACTTCTTTGGACCGAAGGAAGAAGTGAAGCTGGAGACGCACATCCGTGTCCCCGCCTCGGCCGCGGGCAGGGTCATCGGCAAAGGGGGCAAAACCGTAAGCAGAAGCAATGCTTGGGTGGGGATGGGAGCAGCCTGGTGAGGGGACATCCCTGGGGAGGGGGTGGCTGCTTCGTCCCGGTACCTGGGGACATCCCAGGGAGAGATTTCCCAGGGGACTGGCTGGGATTTCCCGGAGGAACTCATCCTTCCCGGACGGCACGACGGGGTGGTCTCTGCCCCTTCCCCACAGGTCAACGAGCTGCAGAACCTGACGGCAGCGGAGGTGGTGGTGCCGCGGGACCAGACCCCCGACGAGAACGAGCAGGTCATCGTGAAGATCATCGGGCACTTCTACGCCAGCCAGGTACGGCCCCGGCACCTCCCGCTCCAGCGCTCGTGGGTTCTCTGATGGCTCGTATGGGGTTGTGTCCACACTGTGGAAGTTTTTTCCCGTGTCTGGCTGGCGGCGGTTGCAGAAGTGGGTGACGATGAGCTGTGCCTTTTGCCGTGGGTGATGGTGTGGGATGGTGGGAGAAGCAAGGAGAGCTTCGGGGGTCCGTGCACCCCCAGAGCATCACCTCCCAAACCCAACTTCGGCAGGGAACCACGCTGGGAACAGGGCAGGAGGGGATTTCCAG